GCCTCCTAGCCCCTCACCCCGCCGGGGGTGCGAGAGCCGCGGGCCGGCACAGGCGCCCCAAGCCCTCGGCCCTACGGGCCCAGCGCCTCAGAAAAGAAGGCGCCCGCCTGGTGCCGCGCACTCTGCCTCCGCCCTGCGCCTGGGCTCAACTTCGCTGGGCTGGAGAGAGCCTTCCTGCCACTCGCCGCTCTCGGTGCGGGCAGGACTCCGCGAACCGGGAGTGCGGGGCTCGGCTGCAGGCAGGGGAGAAGTCCCACCAGGAGCGGGAGAAAGTCTGGGCGCGGCCTATCTCCCTGGAAGCGCCCCCACCCCAAGGTTACAGCGACCCGCGGCCACATCCCAGAGCAAGAAGGGCCCTCGGTCGAGTCTGGCTCCCTTCTCGCGGCGGGCCGCTGCGGCACCTCGCAGAGCTGAGCTGCCGCCCTGCGCGCGGGGAACCGCACGCTTCCGGCGGGGACCGCTCGCTGCTGTATTCGGAACCGGGGGTCCCTCCAGGGCCGAGAGCTAGCACTCCGCGTCCACGCAGGTGCAGTTAGTTGCGGGTACTTGACATGCCGCCGCTCCTGGTGTGTGCGCCCCTGGAGGAAACCCCGGTGCCTGGCTCAAGGCCTGGCCTTTTACTGAAGAGCACCTAACAGTTGTTCCGGTGTTATTCATGGGGCACAGATGGCCCAGAAAGGGCCCCGGTCGCGCAGGTTGTCAGCGGGATGTCGGGTGCATGCGGGTCTGCAGACGGACCCCTGACCCCGCTTCCAGGACTGGCTCTCCGGGCCTGGGCTAGAGGCAGGGAGGTGGGGGGCGGGGGGCGGCTCCCCGGGCAGCCACGAGTTTCCCCAAACAGGGTGGCCGGGCTGGGCCGCGCAGCTGCAGCCGCCGGGGCCTGGGCCTGGGCGCGCAGGAAGCGAAGGGTCAGTGCTCCGTGGCCCGGGAAGGTGGGTTTCAGGATGAGAGAGAGAAGGTCGCCCGTGAGAACCGGGCAGGCCGGTGGGACAGGGAGCGTCCTTTTACACTCACGCTGGAAAGGAAGACAGAGCACTGTGGCGACGGCGGCGGAGAGGCCCCTCCCTGAAAGCCACCCCGGAGGCTCCACGGAGGGGCCGTGCCCGCCGGCTCCGGGGTGAGCACGTAGCTCGGAATGGTCGCGAGAGCAGGGTGCGCCGTTTCCCGTGAGCCGTGGCCGAGTCTCGGGCAAGGAACCGCGGCTGTCAGGGCCGGGCGTGCCGAGGGCTGCCCGCCGGAGCCCCCCGGGCGCTGGCTGCTGGGACCCGGCGGTGGCTTCCTCCCCAGCCGGCTGAGCGCTCACACTCGCCAGGCGGGGGGCCACAGCAGGGGGTGAGGAAGGAGAGCCGGAGGCCGTCCCTGTGCGCGGATCCCGGAGTGCTCCGCTACCCTTGGCGACCGCCCCTCCCTGGCCGGGCCTCATTACCCGGGCAGAGACAGTTGTTTGTAAACAATAAATAATAGAAGGTAGGGGGACGATCAGCCAAAGCCTCAGCAGAAGCCAGAACACTGGAAGGAGTTGAGAGGAGGGGCGGTGGGGGAGGGGAGGAGCGGAGGAGGAAGAGGAGAGAGATTGAGAGATTCATTTCTGCCGAGAAGCCCGGTGGCTAGTTTCTTATTATTTACAGGAAGGTGATATTAGCAATTCAGGTGAGAAAGAAATAAACACGGCCACCGCCAAATCAATACAGAATTCAAAAACAATTATTAATGTCATTTGATTCGTGTTCTTTATATATCTCTCCTGGCTATGGACGCTAAACTGTCTGAATAATTTGCATGGAGCGCCTATTCATTATTTCCGATGTTTTTCCTTTGCAAGCAGCTCGGACGTGGCCGGCTCAGGTCCAACGCGATCGGGGAACTCGTATTTTCTTCTGTAAATTAAAGCAATTACGCAGCAGATATTATATGATGCGCACTGTGGTCTCCAGATAGTCATCAATCACCTTCAACCAAGCTGTCAGAGCAGGCAGATTTCGTTTCTGGGAGGCAGGCTTGCAGCTGGGGAGAGAGTGAGAACGTCATCATTAATTAGAGGATGACCCTGGGGCGATTCGCAGGTCTGAACCCAAGAATCTCTCCCAGCAAGTCTGCACAGCGCCGCCGCGCGCGCGGCCCCCTCCCGGCCGAGCCGGGCGAGAGCAGCTGGGGCGAGCGTGGGCCCCAGAGGTCGGCGGCGCCCAAGGCGGGGAGCGAGTTCAGCGTGGCCCGGACGCCTTCTTGCCGCCTGCGCGCGGGCCTCTGCTTTGAACTCGGGCAAGGGCCCAAGGCCGGGACTGGCTGCGGAAGTCCTGGGGTGCGCGCTTGGTCTCCTCCCCAGACCACTCCGCACAGCCCCGTGGGCAGAGAGCTACGCGAGGCGGGATGGGAAGGGCTCCCCTGCCTGACGCCCGGCGCCCCCGCCTGATGCCCAACGCCCCCTCCCCCGTGCCTAGCTCCGAAGGTCGCCAGGAGCAGCGAGCGCGGCGGGAGCGACCCCGACACTGACGCTCGGAACCCACTCCCCGGAGCGCACAGGGACATCTGGCAGTCCTGGGTTTAGCCGCGAGGGGCAGGGCGGCTGAGGGCGTGCGGCCCCGGAGGGTGGGGGCGGGAAAGGGAGGGCCGTGCGCCAAGTGGGAACTCACAGGCGGGAGAGGGGGGAGGGCATTCCCCAGGGACTCGGCGGCCGAGCGTGGCAAGTCCTGAAGCCTGTGGGCCACCTGGAGTAGGGTGGCAAGCTCCGGGGCGGGCCCAGAACCCACTTACCCGAGGGCATTTGGACCTCCAGATGTGGACACTCTTGAAGCTGCATCTGGCTCTGGAAGACCAGCCTGGAGTAGGGTTCGAACAGGGGGAGGCGTTGCTGACCCCGGATGAAACCGAAGTCGCCCGCTTAGCCGCCGCCTTCCACCTGGAGGGGCGCGCAGAGCGCAGGCCGCCGCTGCCGGCGCCGCGCGGGCTAATTTTAACTGTTGATTACATCTTCATGAAGACTCGCTCGCGTGTCCCTCATACGTCTCATTTGTAATTGAGACTAATGATTACAGTGGGGCGGGAAGGAGCAGCTGCTCATTAATTAATTTCTAATTAAAAGTGCCTCCCGTCCTCGGTGACTAAGGAGAGCCGCTGTTCGTCGGGGCGAGCTTGACTCCTCGGATGAAATTCATTTGTTAAGCGCGCTGGCCCCTCCGCCTGCCCCGCCCGGCCGGGCCGTGGCTGAGTGACCCGCACGTCTGCGGCCAGACCGGGCTGCGGCGTGGGCTGACGTCAGAGCCTCGGCCGCTTAAAGCCGCGTACATCTCACTTGACGGGTTCGCGAGACTTTTTTTTTTTTTCCTTTTTTGCAAAATATGTATTTGTGTCATCGCCGCGAGGCCGGTCGGTCCCAGAGCCCGCTCGAGGCTCCGAATTGCGAAGCTAAAAGGATCGCGGCCGACGCCGCGGCTCACTTTCCTACCCGGTTAGAAAAGTTTGCAGAGCGTGTGGATGAATTAACCGGCTCTCCTGCTTCGCTCCCCCCAGCGCCTAGGAGCTGGCGGCCCCGGAGCAGTGGCTGCGCCCCGCCGGCCCCCGCGCGCAGGACCCAGCCGGCCCGCCCGCCGGCCCCGGGCCGCGCTCGCCATGTCCTACCCGCAGTTCGGGTACACCTACTCGTCGGCGCCCCAGGTAAGGAGGCCCCGCGAGGCCAGACGCACTGGAGGGCCGGCATCCGGCGATCCGGTATCGCTTCCAGCCGGCAGGGCTGCCGAGAAATACCGACGGGAGGAGCGGGGAGCTCGCGCTTAGTTTGACCTCCACCCCAAAGCCGAGGCTGTGCCTCAGGAGACCCTGGGCACGCGGGAGAATCGTGGCCTGCGGGAAGGCCTGCAGGGCCTTGGGGAAACCCCGGGGCAGACGTGAACGCCGCTGCCCAGGACTGCCTGGCCCCACGTGGTTGGAGCGCGCCCCGGGGGGGCCGGGCCACCCAGGCTTGCAGAGGGAAGGCGCCTGCAGCCAGGGGTGGACAGAGATAGACCCGAAAGACAGGCGGCACTGCCTCCTGGTTGGTGCAGGACAGGTGGAGGCCCAGCGCCCCAGCCTTGCGCCTGGTGGCCTGCCTTTCCTCGGGGCTCCTCTCTCCCCCAGTTTCTGATGACCACCAACTCCCTGAGCACGTGCTGCGAATCAGGTGGCCGCACGCTGGCAGACTCCGGGCCCACCGCCTCAGCCCAGGCTTCCGTCTACTGCCCGGTCTACGAGAGCCGGCTGCTGGCCACCGCGCGCCATGAGCTCAACTCAGCCGCCGCGCTGGGCGTGTACGGGGCCCCCTACGGGGGCTCGCAGGGCTACGGCAACTATGTGACCTACGGCTCCGAGGCCTCCGCCTTCTACTCGCTGGTATGCAGGGAGGGGGTGTTATGCCCCTACCCCTCGAGTCACTTTCCCCAGCGCCAACCCCGGAGGCAGCGGCGTGAGGCCCCTGGGCCCCGGACTGCTGCGGGTGGGAGGCGTGTCTTCAGCTTTGCTCCTCCCAGCCTGGCCCCTGCTCCTCCCCCACCCCGCCTGGTTGCGGCGACTGGGCAGGTGGTCGCTGTATTTAATGTATTTTTTTTCCTTGGATCGCTTTTAAGTTCTGATCAGATCTCTGGCTCTGTCGGAGCAGACTCCCCCCTCCCACCGCGTTTCCTGACACCTCTCCCCCCGCACTCCCCCCGGCTTCCCTCTTCCTCTCCTGCCAGCCCCCATTCACCCCTCCCTTTCCCTCTCCCTCCCTCGCGCCTCTCCCAGGCGCCCTGGCTCCTCCCCACGCCTCTTCTCCCCGTCACCTCATCCTCATCTCTGTCTCTCTCTCGCCCTCTCTGTTCTGCCGCCCCCAGCCCCTCCTTCCAGTCTCACACTCATCTCTCGGTCCCCGACACCTACTCCCTGTCCCCTCAACGCCTCAGCTGCGTCTTGGGGCTCCTCACTTCACGTCTTGGGGCTCTTTTGCTGCCCAGGCACTGGGGACAGTCTGGGGAGTGGGGCGAAGCATGCAAAAGGCAGAGGGAGGGGCTCGAGCTGGGCGGCTTCCCTAAGCCGCGACTCTAGGCTCCCGGGCTCCCACAGAACAGCTTCGACTCCAAGGACGCTCCGGGATCTGCGCATGCGGGCCTTGCGCCTGCCGCCGCCGCCGCCGCCGCCTACTACCCGTACGAGCCGGCGCTGGGCCAGTATGCCTATGACAGGTGAGGCACCGATTCTCCTCGCTGTCCCCGGGCCCCGGCGCTTCTGTCAGCCATCACCCCTCATCAGTCCCACGCCCCCAAGAAAGATTGGGTAGCAGGATGAGGGGCATTCCTCTCCTCGGGTGGCGCTGAGCTGACCAGGCCTTGGCCCCACCGAGCCACTTTGCAAGCCCGTGCGACCGCTTCCGCCAGCGACAATTACATAGTTAGCCACGGAAAGTCCACGCAGGCCCTCTGGGCGCTAACGACCAATGGTGCCCGTGGGCGTTCCACGATCTGATTCGCAGCTCTGTGAAATGCTCTCCTGTCTTGGGGATCCAAAGTGCAGGAGAGAGACCCAGTAAAAGAGCTCGAAGGCATCTACGTCCGTGCAGAGTGACGGACACCTGGCTGGGCCTTCCGCCCGTGCCCCACTCAAGGCTTCTGTGGCTCGCGAAGCAGCCCAGATTCCATGTAAATTTAATGAAACATAAATATTCTCTTAGACTTCGGGCCCAAACCGGCAATCCCTGCGGTCCCGACCCAGGTCTTACCACCATAAACACACCCCCACGACACGCTGGGGACTGAAAGCCGGCCGGGCCTCGCCTGGAACAACCCGGTGACTAATCTGGGCCAAGGCAGGCTGGCGCCCCATTGCCCCGCCCATCTCCAGGTATAGCACCATGGACAGCGGCACGCGGCGGAAGAACGCCACGCGCGAGACCACCAGCACGCTTAAGGCCTGGCTGCAGGAGCACCGCAAGAACCCCTACCCCACCAAGGGCGAGAAGATCATGCTGGCCATCATCACCAAGATGACCCTCACGCAGGTCTCCACCTGGTTCGCCAACGCGCGCCGGCGCCTCAAGAAGGAGAACAAGATGACGTGGCCGCCGAGGAACAAGTGTGTGGATGAGAAGCGGCCCTTTGGGGAGGGCGAGGAAGACGAGGGGGCGGAGGAAGACCCCCGGGAGGAGCCCCTCAAGAGCACCAAGAACGAAGGTGGGTAGAGGTTGGTGAAGCCCAAGCGGGCCGTGAGGGCAGACCTCCCTGTGCCTTCTTTGGGGGTTCTAGGGTGGCTGAAGGCAGTGCACCCTTGGGAGCCGGGCATCCAGTGAATGAGCTGACCCGAGCAAGGGCCCGTGCGGGTGTGGGGGCGGGCTGTGGGGGTGAGCCAGGAGCACGTGTAAAGAAAGCCAACATCTCTTCTAGAACATTAGACACCCCCGCCCCACCCCCCAGTAATCGGAGGCTGAAATCCACTCTCAGGTATTGCCAGTTTGGGGGAGATGGGAGTCCCGAAGAAAGGCGTGGGTGCTTTACCTAGCTCTAAAGTCAGGCCCCATGGCCATGGGCGCAGAGGTGGAGGAAAAAGGAAACCGGTCTGGTTAATTCGCACCCTCTCTCTCTCCACTGGCCACTCTCTCTCTCTCCTGGGCAGAGACAGTCAGCAAAGAGGAGAAGGATCTGGAGCTCAGCGACTTGGAGGACTTCGACCCACTGGAGGCAGAGCCCCCAGAGTGTGAGCTGAAGCCACCCTTCCAGCCCCTGGACGGCGGCCTGGAGCGCCTTCCTGCTGCACCCGAGGGTCCCGGTGCCCCCGGGAAAGAGGCCTCGGGCGCTCTCCGGATGCCCCTGGCCACCAGTGGCGGGGCCGCCCTGGACCAGGACCTGGAGAGGGCCCGGAGCTGCCTCCGGAGCGTGGCGGTGGGGCCGGAGCAGCAGCTCGGCATCGGGGGCGGCCCGCAGGCTTGCGAGGCCAAGATGGGCTTTGCCCAGGCTGGGGCGACAGCGGGGCTTGAGGTCAAACCACGCATCTGGTCCCTGGCGCACACGGCTACCGCAGCCGCCGCCACCAACCTGAGCCAGACTGAGTTTCCGTCGTGCATGCTCAAGCGCCAAGGCCCCGCCGCCCCTGCGGCCGTCTCGTTGGCGCCTGCCTCGTCCTCACCTGCGGCCCCGGCCTCCGCCAGTGCCCTGGACAGGCACCAAGACTCCCCGGTAACCAGTCTCAGAAACTGGGTGGACGGAGTCTTCCACGACCCCATCCTCAGGCACAGCACTTTGAACCAGGCCTGGGCCACCGCCAAGGGCGCCCTCCTGGACGCGGGGCCGCTGGGACGCTCGCTGGGGGCGGGCGCCAACGTGCTGACGTCGCCCCTGGCGCGCTCCTTCCCGCCCGCCGCCGCGCCCCACGACGCCCAGGCCACTGGCCCCGCCAAGGAGCTTCTGGCGGCGCCCAAGGCCAGCGGGAAGCCCTTCTGCGCCTGACGGGGCGCGACTCCCGGTGCGCGGTGCCAGCCCGCACGTCCGAGACTCCTTTTGTACTGAGTTTCCAAAGCTAGCGGAGAGCGCCAAGCTCAGGCCGCCCGCCTACCCTGAGGGAGGGGCTGGACTCGGTCTCCCGGACCACCAACGAGACCCCATCTGTCGCGCCAGGGCGGGTGACCGTCCTGGCCTTTCCGCCAAGGATTCTGGCGGCGCCCAAGGCCAGCGGGAAGCCCTTCTGCGCCTGACGGGGCGCGACTCCCAGTGCTCGGTGCGAGCCCGCACGTCCGAGACTCCTTTTGTACTGTTTCCAAAGCTAGCGGAGAGCGGAGAGCGCCAAGCTCAGGCCGCCCGCCTACCCTGAGGGAGGGGCTGGACTCGGTCTCCGGGACCACCAACGAGACCCCATCTGTCGCGCCAGGGCGGGTGACCGTCCTGGCCTTTCCCAAACTCGGGGACCAGTGGGATAGGGCTGCTCCCAGAGCAGAAGGCAGCCGCCCTGAAGCATAAAGTTTACGTCCAAAAGTTTACACGGAGAGAACATTTCGGCTCCTAAGCTTCGTCTGTGTCCTGCCTCCTGGGTGTGAGGCACACCGTGTCCCAGCGAGGACCCTCAGCCTGTTGACCTGATCTCATCCTCAGCGCGGAACTCACCGCAACACCTGCACCGAATTCACACTATTGCACATTCTTAACTCGATAAAATTATGTTTTTTAAAAGTATGTTCGCACCGATAATTGCCTGCTTCAGAGGCTGATATAACAAAGTCAATAAAATGGAGTGATGATGTTTGCATTGCAAAATGAACACCTTTCCAATGTAGGGATTTGAGAACTGGGCGGAGGGAAGGGGCCGACACCCACGGGGAGCAGTGGGGAAGGGGCTCCGGGCCGCTGGGGGCTTGCAGAGCCCAAGACATGGTCGGTCAAGCCATTTTCTAAAACACAGTCAAGGTAAACTTGCCGGATTCTGTTGAATTCCATAATGGAAGTGGATGAGAGACCCAAAACTTTAAAATTCCCCTCCACGACCATGGTCCGGTATTTTGAGAAAATGGGAGTTTCTTTGGCCAGATTAATTAGAATAACTTTTAAACTTCCTAAATTCCCTGGGACTGTGCCCCGGAGGAGGGGAAGGACACCGCCGCCCACCCTCGGACCACGCTCGCGGGAGTGCGCGGCCTCCCGGCGCCCCGCTCGGCCCCGAGCCCCGCCCCCTCCCTCCGGGGCCCCGCGCCCCGCGGGTAACGAGTCCTCACTGTGAGCATCGGCTCTGGACCGGGAAGTGCACGTAGGCCGCAGACCCGAGGGGGAGCTAAAAGGCCTCGAGGTGGGGGCCGAGGCGGTGGGCAGGGTCAGGGTCTGGGTAGGGATTAGGAAAAGAACCCCAAGAGTAATTGGAGCGGCGGGGAGAGGGAGGACCCGGGCCTTGCCCCGCCTCGCCTAGCTTTGTGCGCGATGCAGACCCTGGTTTGCCCTGAAACCAGATTCCCCACCCCCACCCGTGCGGGGCGCCGGGCCCTGAGCCAGGGCCCCGCGAGGGCTGCGTGGAACTCGGTGCGCCTGGACTGGGGCTTGCCCCTAGCTACGAGCCCTCTGCCTAAGGCCTCATTCAAGTCCCCGGTGAGGAGCCCGCAGGGGCGGAGCTGCCCAGGGCTGCAGTGACAAAGTGATGGTGGCCCTTGCCCAGGACGCGGACAGATGGGCAACCGAGGAGACACGAGTTCTCTCGTGGGCCCGCAGGCAGCTTTCGAGGGACAGGCGAGGCCAGGGCTTTCTCCTGCGACTGCGAGACTGGACTGGGCATCTGTTGGGTCAGGGCCGGAAGCGCTGGAAAGCTGGCGGATGGGACCAGGCCGCGCGGGCCGAGTCACGCATCCGAGGGAGAGAAACCGCGCGGCCAGACAGAGGCCGGTCGCCTGCGCTCGGGGGCACCCTGAGTGGTGGGACCTTGATGGCTGGACCTCGGCCCGTCCCCCAACCCAGCGGTGGGACCCCGAACTCCAGACCTGGAGCGGAGGGAGCGCTTCCTGGACCCTGCGTGGGGACCGGCCGCCGCGCGGAGGAGGCCGGGGCAGTGCGTGGTAATTGGACTGTACCCGCCCGCGCGCTGTCACCGTATTGACTTTCCCTCTCTTGGATGATATTATCGAGATCCGGAAGCTCGCCGCTGACGTGCCTGTCAAAAGGCGGCGGCGGGAGCCCCCGGCCTGGCGAGCGAGCATCAGCCAAGATAATTTGAAGTGAAATTTTCATTTTGACAGTAAACCCCTCAATTTCTAAAGGCTCGGCGCTGCGAGCGCCCGCTGGCAGGGGGAGGCTTTGCAGAAAGCCACGTCTTAGACTGAAAAGGGCAAAAGAACTCGAATTAGTTGTAATAGATAAAAGGGCAAAAATAAAGAGTCAAGGGTACTTGACAGTAATAGCGAAAGTGGAGTCTCAGGGGAGACGCTGCGGCCAAGGCTGGGGCGCCAGGAATTTTAATGCGGCCGCCCGAGCGCACCCAGCCCAGCCCGAGACAAAGCCAAGGCATTTTCAGCAAAAAACAAGGCTTCGCGGACGCGCGCGGCGCGGCGCGGCGAGGCGGGACCGCGGCTGTGGATTCGGGCGCA